AAACATGCATACTCGATCGGGTATCACTATATACCCGATCGAGTATGTACATATAGTCGATCGAGTACAGGACTCGAGAATTGAAAAACAAGGGATACCCGATCGGGTATCACTATACACCCGGTCGGGTATGTACAGAAAGGCTAAGGTTAAAGAAAGCTGACTCCCACACTCGATCGAGCACAGGCCTCAAAACGTGTAAAAGGACACATACCCGATCGAGTATTGTATTATACCCGATCGGGTACCGGAGGCAGACTACTCAAAAAACCCAGTTTCCAGCCATACCCGACCGAGTAACAACACATACTCGATCGGGTATACGGGCTTTTTAACCCCAAAACCGCCCCAAACACTTCATCTTCCCCAAATTCCAAAACCCAATTTCGAACCCTTCTCCCCCAACCTCCATTTTTAACACTTCTCTCTACCATATCTTCTCCATTTCTTCACCAAATCACCCCATTCCAACACCAAAATACTCCCCTCATCTTCCTCTACACACCCATACCCACCAATCCAACTTTCCCCCAGTTTCAAGAGGTCCGAGAAACCCTACCCCAACTTTCAATTTTTCGGATTTCAAGCTCAAAATCACCCAAAAATGGCACCAAGGAAGGAAAAAGGGCAGAGCTCCAACACTATGGCATCCATCCCAGGCTACGAGGACATCATATTCGCCGACAACGAACACCGAACCCGCTTCATCTCCACCATTGCAAGGCAAGTAAAACCCTCTCGTTTTTTATGCCATGATGCTCTCAATGAGTTAGGAGTGTATAAGAGCACTAGGAAATTTTTTCATGAGTTGAGCATGGATCGTATATTCAAAATGCAATATCACTCTAATGAAAAAATAATCTATGAACTCATGAGTTCGGTGCAATTTGAGACCGATGAAGCTGATTTTAGGGATGATAAACTCAAGTTTCGTCTGTTTAACCACAACCACTCCATAACGAAACTTGAGTTCACCGAACATTTTGGTATTCCGGTCCCCTACCAAAAATCAATATCCGATAATACCGCTTTCGGCCATACCCTGTGGACAAAGATGACCGGGGAGGCTAAATTTAGCTCCTCCCAACTGTATATTAGTCATGTCCAACATCCCGTCCTCCGCTTATTCTTGAAATTCCTTGCCAATTTCTTGCTTGGACGTCCCAACAACCATCACACTAGGATGGGGGACGTATGCCTGATGTCTGTGGCCCTATTCCGTGTTCATGTGGATTTCAATCTGTGCAATCTCATGTGGGCACATCTGAAAAAGGAAAGCGCAACCAAGGACGCCATTGTTGTGGGTGGGGTGATAATGCACTTAGCCACCAAGTTCGGGTATACGGATAACTCTCCTATACCCGACTATTGTTTGATGAACATATCTTGGTTGGGCCATTCGGGATGTACAGCCTTTTCTCACACTGTTTACGGTGGAGAGAGACCAAAAAATATGTACAACTGGCTCATACACCCCAAGTCTCTCAAATACTTCCTCCTACCCAACCAAGAACTCCCCAAACTGCGCTACAGAGAAGCAGTAGAGGAGCCCCATTACCTCTTCCCACACACCCTTCCACCACATCTCCAAGAACCGGAGCAAGAACCTCCCCAATACCAACCCGATTACGAGCCCTATGCTCAACCCCATGGCCATGAAGACATGGACAACGACATCCCCGAACAAACTCAAAACCCTCCACCACCCGACTTCTTTCAAAAACTTTTGGAGGGTCAACAACAATTGCTTACGGGGTACACTCAAATGAACGAGAACTACATGGCTATGGACAACCGGCTCAACCAAATACAGGAGGAGCAAAGGGCCGGTTATCAGCGATTGGAAGAGCTCCGGGAAGCCGATAGGCATCGGTATGAAGAAGACCAACGTAGGTTCTACGGACCTATGTACTCTTACATGGCACAGCAGGTATCTTTTCATACCATGGCAAACCCCCCTCCACCACCCTCGTGGTATGACCCCACTCATTGGGGTAACTTTGGAGGATCTGGCTCCGGGGGTGGAGGGTATGACGGTGGAGATAGCGGGGACGCATACATGGGAGATGGCGGGCAGGGGAGCGGCTTCGGAGGCAGCTACTACGGCGGAGAGGGCAGGCACTAGGGACATTGCTTGGTTCAAGTGCGGGGGAGAGACTCATCATGGTATGTAATTTTAATTTCCACCTCGCACCATGCATGTAATTCTTTTGAACTTTTTACACACACAAAAAAAGAGAATAAATAAAAGAAAAGAAATGCTAGTTAGGTTGAAAACCCAACAAAATGGGCAATCTAAGCAAAAAAGGCTTATAAAAAAATGAGTGAGTTGGGAAGAATGGAAAATGAAAAGAGATGCTAGGATGAAAACCTGAAAAGACTCCTAGGAAAAATGAGAGATATGAGAGAAATGATTGTTTTTGCAGGCACTCATTGTATCTCTTTGAAGAATAAGAAGATTCAGAAAACAAAGAAGAAGAAGAAGAAGAAGAAGAAGAAGAAGAGAGGAGGAGAAGAGAAGATGAACACTAGAAGGCCGTAAAACCCAAGATGTTCCTTGTAATTTGAGCTTAAAACTCATTTTTTATCCTTGGTGGTCTTTGTGTGTGTAAGTTGTTTAAACTGTGGAAACTTTGGAAAAACTTGACACTTGTGAACATTTGATCTTACTCGAGGGCGAGTAAAGAAACTAAGTGTGGGGGAGTTGATACGTTTCTAATTTCCATGTGTATGTTTGTGTTTTTAATTAGTTTTGCTTGATCTTTACTTTTGAAATTACACACTTTTGGTGTAATAGTTTAGTTTGTTAAATTCTTGTAAATAGTTCAAATTAGGTATATTCTGAGCTCAAACAGGTCTTGATCACTCAAAGGACAATTGGTGTACCCCAAAAGTGGAAGGAAGGTGCAAAAATAAGAAAGAAAGAAGGATCCTGAAATTTTGGTCTATACTCGGTCGAGTATTACCTATACTCGATCGGGTATTAGGTTGAGACTTCAAATCGGATCAGATCCGAAGACAAGGGAACATGCCGGGAAGATTTCGGCCATGATTAAATGTCTATACCCGATCGGGTAGACCGACATACCCGATCGGGTATGCCTTTGAGTTTTAAACGAAAATCGGTCGAGTATGGCTCGAATATCACTTTCTAAGCATACTCGACCGGGTATAAACATATACCCGATCGGGTATACCTTTGGAAAATAGCCTAAAACCGATCGAGTATACCTCGAATCGGGTATTACACACATACTCGATCGGGTACCATGTATATACCCGATCGAGTACCCGAATCCCATCCCAAAACCCTATAAATACACCCCCTTTCCTTCACAAATGATCATCCAATTCCTTTGTACATCTAAGCTCATTATAGAATAGTTCTTTCTTTATATTTTTCATCATGTTTAGTCTCCAAATGAGGAGCTAAACTCTTCCATCTTGGTTTTGCTACTTTGAAGCTTAATGAATTTGTAAGTTGTGAGTTATTTTCTTTAATCTTCTTCCTTGAATATTAATTCCTCCTTTAAAATACTATTTCTATATCAAAGTTGGGGAGTGTTACTAAGATGACAATTAGTTAACTTCTTGACATTGTTTATAGTAATAGTTATTTCTTCCTCTATGTTAATATTGGGGAGTGTTACTAAGATGACAATTAGTTAACATCTTGATATTAATCATAGTAGGATTCATATTCTTTAATATTTTTCCTTGAGTATTAATTAATTCCTAATCATAGTTCATGTTAATGTTTTAAACATTACTTAAAGTATCAACTAGTTTTGTTTCTCATATTAATTATTACTAGAATCAATCGGTTAATACGCTTGTTATTAATCCGGTTCTTTCAACGGTAGTAAACTTGGATTATTAATGCATGTATCTCATGGTTAATATGCCAAGGGGAATTAATTATATTGATTAAACCAATAAACCGCTTGTGTTGAGGTTATCAATCTCAATCGTTTTTCATCTTCAGTTTATTGCTACTATCAAGTTAATATACGACGCTTGTTCTATATTGACTCGATAGTAAGTTTTATTAATGAACGCATCTCGTTATTAATAACTACCCTCGATGAACTGGATATACTCCTCGATTGAGTATTCGAGAGGAAGATAGTTAAAGATATAACCGGGATCGACGAACATTTCATTAAGCGGATAAAAGCAAAACCAAGCTACCACATCTATTAATCAAACTCATATAGGTTGTTTATCTTAGTGTTAATTGAATTAAATCAAACTTAAAAACCCCTTTGTTACTACTTATATAGAAGAAAAGTGTTCCTTTCCCTGTGGATACGAACCTTACTTCGCTATACTACGTATTAGTGTTGTATTGATAAATTATTTTGAGTGCACCTCACGACAAGGGCACGTCATGGGCGAATTGAAATTTGAATGGACTATATATGCCGGAAGGACCATAAAGGACAATACCTAATTAAAACTCGCAGGAACAAAAACTATTTACCCGTAAAAAAATCAAATTTGAACCAATTTTTGTGGATTCGGAGTGCAAATTGAACCTTTTTAATTCAGATACTGAATTGAGCTTACACGACCGGTAAATGAGCCTATTTGACACTTTTCCTTCATTCTATTTTTTTAAACCGACAAAACGTGAATATATGCCGCCCAAGGTGACATAATGTGAATCCCCTCTATGTATTTATTTGACTTATTTATTTGGCATAATCAGATCAAAATATCCAACATTCGGTATGCATTTGACTTATTTCCTCAAAGTCATGTATATATAGTCAAATGTGAAATATACTCCATCTGGTTCTTAATTAACTTTACACTTTCCATTTTGAGTCGTCCTATATTAAACTTTACTTCCTTATTTGTCTTATTTGACAAACAAATCTACAGCAAACAGTGCCAAACAACGTACTTTATAGTAAAATCAAATTTATTTCCTTAATATATGTGAAGTCAAAGTGTAAACTCCATTAAGGACCGAAGTAAATTTGAAGGTAACTAGTGTATCAAAATATCCTTCAATCCATATCATTCCATGGCAAAGAAAAAGAAGGATACAAGTATCTTTTTAGATAATGTAGAAAACAAAAAAGACTTGAAATTTGGCGTCCTATTAAAATTAAATAGCCAAAATATTGCGCAGCTCAGACAAATACTCTCTCATTTTCAAAAGCCGTTTCAAGATTCCAGCTGATCGAGATCGGGATCGGGATCGTAAAAGCATATAATTAAAAATTAAAATACAATAATTAATGCCCAAATTACAAGAAACGTGCATGCATTAATCATTAATGATTAACCGGCCGGCCTAAAGCAACAACAAAAATCCCATCACTTTTTGACGTTCTTGATTTCATGTTCCTCCCATTCTTTATCGTCGGAGCCGCCGTACGGAAATTGAGGAAGTCCCGTGAATTGGTGATGATTGTGTTGATAATGGGATTGCGCCGTGGAACTTGTCGAAGACGACGTCGGTGAAACGAAGGTTTCCGGCGACGCCATTCCCCGGCGGTCGAACATTAGGTCATCCCCGAAGGTGGGGGGGAGAGCGTTGACTGCCGTTCTTTGGCCGCCGCCGATAACAAACTGCGCCGCCGCCGCGTATTGGTTGTCGAGAACGGGTACGTAGTATGGAAGGGGAAAATGCGGGAGGAATGGAGAAAGGAGAGACGGCGGAGGAGTTGTGTGGAACTGGAGGTGTCGAGTTGGGTGGTGGTGGTAGTAATGGTGAGGCGCCACCGCCGCCGCCGCGAACTGGTGGGGCTTGCCTTGAACTCTCTCAGGGAAGTTGAGCTTGGCTTTACTGCCTTTGAACCTCAATGCCGCTTCGTCGTAAGCTAAGGCGGCTGACTCCGCCGTGTCGAAGGTTCCGAGCCAAACCCTCGCCGCCTTCTTTGGGTCTCTGATCTCCGCCGCCCATTTCCCCCACGGCCGCTGCCTCACTCCTCTATAGTGCCTCTTTCTTTGGCTCCGTTCTATACACATAAACATGCATATTATGCATTGTAATTAACTTCGTCTCATTAATTTATTCTTATACCAATGAGTAAAACATACGAAAATTAAAGATTAATATAAATAGGTCGATCCTCAAAATAAGATTCACTTAATTCTATTAAAAGAATAAAAAACTCCTCTAAATAGAAGTGTATTAGTCATATTATGGGAAAAAAATTAATAATACTCTTACTTTGAGAAAATATAAGTACACCTTAATTATTTCTTTTAGGATTAATTCTTAGTTTCGCTTTGTTTGTTTACTAGAAAAATTTAGGTATGTTTTTAAAGATTAGAGGTGTGCTTAGTATGAACATGTCGCATACCTCATTTTGAAGAACCTCTAAATAAAAGGTTACCTGTTGTGAATAAATATATAATGTTGGTGAGTAGTGTGGTGCCTTAGAATAAATGTGAGGATATCATATATACTTGCAATATACTGCCTCCGTTCTTAAATAAATGCACGCAACAGTCAATTTTTTCACGTTTGTCAATGCACAATTTTGACCATTAATATATTTAATTCTCTTTTAATAAAAAAATACAAAATTCAGAGTGAAAATTTAGGATGAAACAAATTAACAATATATTTTTTTTAAATAAACTATTGATATATTAATATATAAAACGTAGTCAAAATAGAACATGTGAATAATGTCAAATTCCACATGTTGCATTTATTTAATAAGGGAGGTAGTATATAATTGATTGGTACAAGTCATTATCTCTTCATTTATTAGTATTTAAATGATTCAATTGTAATGCTTTATTAATTGATCTCTAGGGTACGGTACATAGAATTTGCCTATTATCTTGACATGTTTTCTGATGTTATTCGGCATTCATCTCAAATAATTTTTGCTATATGTTGAACAAATTTTTGTCCCTATTTGTCTAGAAAAGGGGTATATATTCTACTCAAAAACAAATTCCTCTCAATTCGAGATCCTATTTAAAATTGGCCATCACGATTTACACAAATAAGACTTTAGAAGTTTAGGATTTGTGAATGGAACAAAGTGAGTATCAGTCTTATTTCAAAACGAGATACACTTATGCTAAAATGACAATTAGCCCGTTTCCAAAAATATTTTAGTGAATGGTCCATAGATGGTGTGAGTAAATCATGAACTTAGTTAGATTCTTCTTTTGAATCTATTGCATTCTTTACCAAATACCATCCAATTGGTACTTGAATCATTTGAAAATATTGTTCTTTGACTTATTTCCATTCTTATTCCAGCCACTAAAGATTACTCCCTCCGTCCCTTATAACTTCGCCAAGTTTCCTTTTTTGGTTGTCCCAAAAACTTTGTCACTTTCCCTTTTAATCAATCAATTTGTGGTTCCTGTTATTTCTCTCTCATCTGCACAAATCTCCACCACACGATTTTTACTTTATTATTCTACGTGTCAGTCAAACATGACAATTCTTTTAAGAACGGAGGAAGTATAAGTGTGTCCCTCCGTCTCATTTTACAAATTGGATTACACTTCATTAAAATGATCCCTTTATTTATCATTTCATCACTTACATTCTGTTATTCGTTTTTCTCTTTCATACCTTTTAGATGGTTGATGGATATTATAATTGACCCGCTAATAAAGTTAATTCCCACGTCAGAATATTTAAATTAGTACGGAGTATTTATGTTTGAAATAAATATATAGGGATAGGAGATATTTGAAGTGCAAAATTAAATTGAATTAAATTTGATAAAAAAATTGAACAAAGAAATTAAACTCTTGAGAATTGAATCCAAGACTTCAACTCAACAAACTCACTCCGTCATCGTTCAGCAGTGTAAATTTAAAAGTTGAGTGGGATAGTGGGATATAATTTATAAAAATGATACTCTCTTCGTCCCATTTTACTTAGCAAAACTTGATTTTTCAAGTCAATGACGTCTAACTTTGACCAATTATATGTTTATATAAAGAAAGTATTAATAATTTAAAAATGATATGAAAATGTTCTTTGTTAAAAATACTATCATAAAAGTAAAAAATTATTAAATTTTGTATAAATAATCCCTCCGGTCCTAAATAAACTTCACATTTTCCTTTCTGGGTAGGTCCAAAATAAACTTCATGTTTCTTCTCCCTTCCTTATTGGGCAAATTATCTACATCAAAATAGTGCAAAACAGTGTCAAACAGTGCCACATAGTGCCAAACAGTGTCACAACAGTGTACTCTACAGTAAAATCAAATTTATTTACTTAATCTGTGTGAAGTCAAAGTGCGGAGTTTATTTAGAATCGGATGGAGTATATTAGTTTAAATAATTGATCAAAGTTTATCACCTTTTACTGGAAAAGTCAAAGATGTCTAAGTAAATTCGGACAGAGGGGGTAGTATATACTTGTATGTATAATTGTATATACCTTGATCTTGAGGATTGGGCTGAGATGGTTGTTGAAGAGATAGATCACCAGTTTGGGGTTGTAGTGAATTTCCATGCAGGGAATCATCCACAGCAGCTTGGGTGCTTCCAATGACTTGGGAAAGGGCAGAAACCATGGCAGTCATATCATGAAGAGACCGGGCCGAGTAAATCGGGAAAATGGGGTCAACTGCCACCGAGCCACCGCCTCCGCCGCCGCAGACCTCTTTCTTCTCCGCTTCATCGGATGAAAAGGGCCTCTTCCCATTTGAACGATCCACCTTTACTATCTTTTTGGATCAAGCCAAAATGCCCAAATGAATATATAATCCGGCCAATTTATTTGTCACACCCTCATATATATGATCATCAATTGTATATATTCGATAAAGAAGTAATTTAAGCTTAGAGAGTTTGACAACACGATTGATATGATGATAAGCTTTCGATGATTCTATATATGTGGGAAGAAGCTTCTAAGCTAAGATAAACAATCGGATGAAGAGCTGGAGAAGATGATCAAGAAGAGAATGCTCTATATAATGATATGATCCTCGTGTGTATAGAGTGTCAAGTGTGAAAGAAGAGTACCGTGTTGAACAATGGACTCACTTTTTTCCTTTTTTTGTCAGCTTTTTTCTTTAGACCCTTAGCCTTGTTTATCCTTATATGCATACTAGGGGCCGATTCAAAAAAAATCCTTTCGGTCGAGCGGTGGGAGATTTGGATCAATGGACCAAGGTTCGAATCCCGCAGCGACCGGGTAGAGGTCACAGAACCTGAAATAAGGCTGGACCTCTGGTGCGCACGGGTGTATGGACCTGCTGTCATTCTGGTGACTGAGACACCATGACTAACCTCCCCATCATCCTGTCAGGTCGGGGTGGGGCTCTTGGGGTGGGAGATTCCACCTTTTTTGGATCAATAAAAAAAATCCATTCATCTGGACTGAACAGTAATTATACCAAGTTTAAAGTAACAATCATTGATATATGAAGCGAGAATAAAAAAATCAAGCAATTAGATTATCTACAAGTTTAGCTTACTATATATAGCTCTAGTGTTATATATTATATCCATACCAAAATGTGAGATTTTTACTCACTATCATGTATTGTTCATTGTTTTACAATTCTAATATTTATTGGTTCTAGCATTTTTTGAACTCAATATACTTCAAGTGTCACTCTGAAAATGCATATTGTACCTCAATATTTGAACTCAATATATTGAATGTGAGGAATGAGAATGACCTACAAGAGAAATGTTTTTTATTTAAAGAAATGGCTACATACACCATACTATTTTAGTGATACAAGAGAAAAATCTATATACACTTTTTGTCTCAACGTATGGTTCTCACTTTCATTTTTTGACGACTCAGCTAAATGTTCTCATTATATTTCTAATTTAAAAAATAATTAGCACTCTTAATTTGATCATCAATTATTAAAAGTAATATATTTATAATATCACACTTATCGTAAATGATGTATATTACATTTAATTATTGTATAAATAATTATGTCATTTTGTAATGAAAACTTTAAGCGTGCGAAGGTAGTATTAATTTTGTTTTATAAAAATAATAGTTATGTATTATAATTTTAAGATATATGGATTTCATATATATAATACCCGAGGTACACTCTTTAGATTCTTTTTATTCTTTTTCACTTTTCACGGTGAATTTATTAATTAATTATTTCAAATGGTTTTTTCAAAATATCTGTTAGCAATGAAGGCCAATTTTCCCCCTTGATGAAACTGTTAGGGCCTTAGAGCATGTATAAATGTTACTCCTAGAGAGCTGTTTGCAATTTTTAAAAAATATTAAAGCCAGTAGCGGAGTGGCCTAGCATTGAAGAGCAACTTTCCTTCTAGCTTGAGCAAGTAAATTAGCCAATACAAGCTATTTGCTGGAAGGGAGAGATGTTTGAACTATAATGATAATTATCAAATATATTTTATTTATCAGGCAATTGATATACTAAATTAATTAAAAATACAATGATAAGTTAAAGTACTGATAAAATAAAGTAGTTTTCTTTATTTTGAATTGATATTTAAGTATATTTATTTTATTAATACAGAGTATTATTTAATTTAGTATATTTATTTTATTTAATGTTTTTGCTTGATTTATTTTAAGAAATGTTTAATTTTCTCATGGAATATTTAAATTTGATATTTTTCGGTATGTATGTGTTGTTAAAATTTCCTTTTTTTTGGTTTTTTTAACTTAATATAATACATATTTTTGTACTAATTTTAAAAATATGCCTTTATATTATCCACGTTATAGTAATAATAATACTGATAATTTATGAGTTTAAAAATATCATTGACGTTTTCCCAATTTAAAAGTATTTCAAAATAAATATAATTTTATATTGTATTAATAAATCAATTCATTCAAAATGTATATTTTTATGGTTGATTTGTGGTGCCTATTCGATAGATAAGCATTGTAGCTAACCATTGAACTATCATGTTGGTGAAAAATGATTTAGCCAGAAAAAATGATGTGACAAGCAAAACTACAATGAATATAGCTAGTCATTATAGATTCTCTTAGGATACCTATTTTATAACATTTTTTTTGAGAGTATTTTATAACTAAAAATGTTAAAGAGACCACCGAAAATTAACATTAGGAGACAATGAATATAGCTAGTGATATAGATTCTCTTAGGATACCTATTTTATATCTAAAAATGTTAAAGAGACCAGCGAAAATTTACATTAGGAGTGCAATTACATTTTCCCAGTTACTATATATTTATCGAGATTTGGTTTAAATACGGAAACTTTTAATATAAAACCGTAACAATCCTGCGTATCATTAAAATATAAGGTTGTGTTTTTTTGTGTAATTGAAGTCAAAAGGTGTTTATTTAATTAATCACCCTCTAGAGAGAATAAAGACATTTTCGCTTTGGCTGCTTTAGTGTGTGGGTAACATGTTATAAAGGTATAATGTATGGGATTGTTTTGGGGCCGATAATAAAATAAAATTCCAAACCATTAGGTAAGCTGTACGTACAAACGTACTTAGTTACTTACCTATGATTTAAAGTATGGCATGATACTATTTTTTGTAATAATTACTCTCCATTCCAAAAAAACATTTGTACACACCATTTTACACGTTTTAACACATTGGTCCCTAGTTGTCTATGACTCTATGTACAAAGGTATTTCGCTTAAAAAAAATCAATACTTTTAAATCAATTGTCTGTGTGGGCATATGAAAAGTGGCGTGTATGCAAAGCATTCTTCAAGAAGAAAACCTAAAATGGGTTCACAAAAAAAAATTGAAAATGGCAGATAAATGCATACAATGGGTAAAAGGTAAAAAAATAGTCTTAAACATAAGTAAAGCAGCCTTTACATTTTACATAAGTAAGATGTAAAGCGTGTTTGCTGAAGTTGATGAAATGCTGATTTAATCTACTCAATTATGGGGGGAAATCTGAAATGTATTTTCTTTACAAAATAAAGAAAAATTATATGAAAAATAGCAAAAATGTTCATCTGCGGTAATTTCAGCCAATTCAGTTAGATAAGTACATTCAATCTTAATTTTATTATTACAAAATCAAAAGTTAATATAAAAAATGACTAAAAAGGCTAATAAGATGAAAATAGAGGTATCGAATGGACACGAAAATTCCAAATTACACGTATTATATTTTTCATGAGTGCTTAGGATGTTTTTACTTGAACTGTAATTTGCTGGTCTGGTCTGATCTGGTCTAGTCTGGTCTGGTTTCTTTGTATTTTTATAACTATCCAAGTCTGGTCTGATCTGACTCTGATCTGGTCTGAACTGGTTTGGTCTGGTCTGGACTGGTCTAGGACGAATTACAGTCCAAGACTCCAAGTAAAAACATCCTTACTAACATGCTTGCAAAATAATGTAAACTATGACATTAATACTATCATATTAACTTATTAAGGCATGGCAATGCCCAGTTATGACAATATGATTTAGTGATGTCGACACGTTACATCTATAGTAGGAAGAAAAATAAATTACTTCTTAATTGGAATCCAATCCCATATCTTTTCAACTTTCAAGATTTTCCCTAAAACTCTAAAAGTAGTTTAGCTCCATTTCATTACAAAAATGTTCATTGTTTTTCATTACAAAAATGTTCATTGGTCCTATGAGTTTTGTATACATTCCACATTTCCACTCTTAATCCACACTTTTCACTTTATCCACTTTTGATATGTGACTAATGTTTTTTAACCGTCTGTGCTCCTTTTCCAGTGACTCTAATCATCGAAAACAATAACAGAAGGACCTTATATGGGCGAATTGAAATTTGAATGGACTATATATGCTGGAAGAACCATAAAGGACAATACCTAAAACTCGTAGGAACAAAAACTATTTACCCGTAAAAATCAAATTTGAACCAATTTTTGTGGATTCAGAGTGCAAATTGAACCTTTTTTAATTCAGAGACTGAATTAAACTTACACGATCAGTAAATGAGTCTATTTAACACTTTAGCCTTCATTCTATTTTTTTAAACCGACAAAACGTGAATATATGCCGCCCCAAGGTGACATAATGTGAATCCCCTCTATGTATTTATTTGACTTATTTATTTGGCATACTCAGATCAAAATATCCAACATTCGGTATGCATTTGACTTATTTCCTCAATGCCCGTGCCCATACAGACGACTGCCTGGCTGTTTAGGCCTGAATTAGGTATGTTGCATTTCTTTTCTTCATTCTCCATTTGGTACTTGTTAGGCTTGTAAAAAGTGCTTTGGAATGTTCCCCTATTGTTGTTGATAAGTTCTATCCATATTTGCTTATTTATACATGTGCACGTTCTTGTTGTAAAAGAAGATGGTTACTCCCCTATTGGTCACTTTGAACAATGAGGGGGTGGTTCCAGACATTAATTTCATATGAAACACATAAAGAAAATGTAAGTGGTGATACAATTGCAAATTATGAAAACACCAACTAATAATAAAATTGAAGATGAGAATTATTGAAATTGTAGCTGTAAATGAAAATTACGGTTAATTAATTTAGCTCGTATATTACATTTCTTAATGTAGACAATAATTTTGGGATGAAAAAGAAAAAGGGAAGATAGTTTAGCGAAAGAGAGAATTATACCGATATTTCTTCATGCATGACGGACAGTGAAAGGCATGACATTCTAATCCTGAACAATAGTTTTGGTTCTTCATGCACGACGGATTGGCCACAGGAGAGGTGAGTGAACTCGGCTCGTGCTTAAATCAGATAAAAGGGTTATGAATGAAATCAACAGTTTTGGACAAGAATGAACACAAACACAAAAGCCTATGAAGTTACAAAGAGTGAAAGAGGCATTAATTGGGAGGAAATATTGGCGGAATCTACGTGCAAACTAACATTGAAATCAGACTGAACCATTTTCAATATTTTTGTATGTACACTTCATCAATTGATTATGCAGTTGGATGAGCCTGCCAGTATGCCAAAAACTGAGAAGGCAGTTCTGCTAAAAGTGACTGAGCGACAGAAACCTCTCCATCTACAAGATCATAGAAAAAAATCGCCCCGTACGTTGCTTATTTTAAATAAAATCAGACAAAAAAAGAAATACTCGTTTATTTGCGATCAACCTGTTTTCGTAGTTGAACAAAAACACTAATTCCACATGAGAACTTACTTTGCATTTCTCGTAATGGGACAAATTGGACTATATCACGGGAAGCAACCCTGCCTTGAGAGTTCTCGAGTCTATCCTTTTTATCAGCGTCTAAAATCTGAAAATTGAGTTTTTTGTGTATATAGAAAATTTTGTATAAAAACATACAAACAGTCCTCAGACACCTTTACTAAGAAGGCAACAAGAACAAGAATACCTCCATTTCCTTGAAGTCAGCTCCTCCAACCCCAATTATTAGAATCGACAATGGCAAATCTGATGCATTAATAATTGCATCCTTTGTTTCTTCTAGATCAGTTATTACTCCATCCTATAAAATTTTAACCAGAAAAGAGGATTCAGTTTGAAAGGGATGGATGTTGATAATCAGGCTATTAGAATTAGAATCGGATGTTAACTAAATTTCATGTCAAATTTCAGTTTGGACAATGATTTTGGTTAGTACTACCTCTGTCCCATTTTATGTGTCTTGTTTTACTTTGGCACAATTATTAATATATAGTAGTTGAAAAGGTAAAAGTTGTGATTGAGATTTGAGTATAATAAAGTGAAATGTTATGGGGCACATATTTCTTTCCAAAAGAGGAAGTATGACACTTATTTTAGGATAACCCAAAAAGGAAAGTAAGACACGTAAAATGAGACAGATGGACTATAATATTATGCACTTTATCAATTTTATATTTTTATGAAAGTATTTTTAACAAAGAACATTTCATATCATTTTTATATTATAAATAGTTTCCTATATAACATAAAATTGATCAAAATGATTCAGTAGTCAGGTCATACTGTGATAATTAACAACACAAAATATTTGCGCTCTTTTCTTTCCGCAGATTGGCCTGCTATTTGTGCTCCAGCATTTATTACTGGTCCAAACAAAGTGGGCCCAGCAAGTGACACATTGAAAAGGGCACTTATATATGCCATCATTATTCCATGGATTCCTTCAACCTGAAATATGAAATTACTCGTTTAAGACAGCATAATAAAATGAAATACAAAACTTTAGAAGCTAAAGGGAAGAGAATAATGTTCAATAAAATACGTAGTATACTTTTTCCAGACACAAATTAAGTAACATATGCTCTCCAAATGCTCTAGGTGAAACAAAGTCTACCTCACAGTAACTGTTGCTTCCATTCAAATTAAAGCAGTGAGAAACTGGGCCATCTATTGGCCTTGCTCCAAACCCCCATGCTGGAAAGTGCTTGTCTGAATCATAAAATTGCAATATTCCTCCTACTTCTGTGATGGCCTGTTATTATAATTCGAACAGGCATATATGCTAAGACTTAAAAGAACGTAGACTTCACAGCCTTAATATTCAAAATTGGCTTCTCAATTCTCACTCTTTGGTATGCATTTGGACGGCCTGAAGGATCATTATAGTGCAATGAATCTGGTAGGCGCGGATTTCCATTTGAAGCTGAGACAAAAAGAAACAGAAGTCAGAGAAAAAAATGACAAGTACCAAGGGATCTTGTGAAGCGGCAGAACCATAGTGGTGAAGTACGATGTAGGGAAAACCTCCTTCAAATATAGTTGCTCAAGGACCCCATTATGTATATAATGGATATAATTCTTTTTGAACCTTGGCCAATTTACTACGTCTAAATAGAGGGGGGAGATATTAGAGTTTAGACAAGAGAGGAAATTCAGACTGAAAATGCTTGTTGTATTATCTAGTTTGTACTGCTATTTATACAATACTTAGGAGCCTATAATAATGATTGCAATATTAATTACAAAGGTTGTAACGATTATGATTGAAGATATGATAACTGAAATAATTATAAATTATTTTGTCTGGAATCTTCTATACGCCCCCGCAAGCCAGATATAAGAGTGTGATGTGAAGAGATTATGAAGAGATTGGCATCAAACACAACAACAACCAAGCTTTAGTCCCAAAAGATTTGGAGTCCGCTAACATGATATCGGAGCCAAAAGGAAAAGAAAGATAAAAGGATAAGGTATTATAAAAGGATAAAAAAATAAGATAAAGATAATGATAAATATAAGATAAAGATAAAAATGATAAGATAAACAGGATAAATAGAATATATATAAAATAAAAAGGATAAAAGGGTAAAGAACAAAAGAAAGATAAAGAAGACAAAAGAATAAAGAATGATAAAAGATCAACTCTCCACATGAATATCTGTCTTCCACTTTGCTTTCACCAAAGTCATACTCTCATCCAACCCAGGAAGAAGCATATTACTCCTGACTCTTCTAAGTATGGAATCAGAAACGATTTGATAAAATCCAATGGAAAGAAGAAACCCACTGAGAGATTGATACCACACCCGAGGTGCTTGTTTGAGACCATAGTTTCATTTACGAAGACGACATACCGACCCGAACTATCATTGAAATCAGGAGGTTGTTTCATGTAGACTTCCTCTTGAAGAGTCCCATGTAAAACACATTGTTGATATTGAGTGGATTGATCTGCGAACCATGAGAAAGGGCAATGGTCAAGACAACTCAAATAATTACCGGTTTGATTACTGGGCCAAAAGTGTAAAAATAGTCGATTCATGGGCACCGATGAAAATACTTGACAATCAATTGAGCTTTGAAATGATTGAAGGAACCATCCTGTTTGCATTTCACAGTATAGGCCCATTTGCAACCAACAACATTTTAACTAGGACAAGCTGAGACAAGTTCCCTAGTTAACCAAGGCATCAAATTCTACACACATAGCATCCTTCTAGTTCCCGTAAAGCTTGAGAAGTACAAATGGGAATAATATGATGAGGTAATGTCGACAAAGTGACGAGATTGACTTGTTTACAAGGGCGATGGGTACGTTTTGGAGGAGAATGGTGGGGATCAAGATGTTGGTCAGTTGGTCTAAGGATGGTATGGAGGCATTTGTAGCAGGTGGTTCGTGTGATGGCAGTTGGTTCATTAAGTGATGGTTGAGGAATGGTGGGGTAGGTGATTTTTTATTAGGCCGACGTTGATAGGGGATGAGAACAGGTGGATTGGTTATGGGTGGATTGTTTGGAAGTTGAGATGTAGGAGGCAATGGATTAGAAGTAAACATTGACATATAGGGAGTTTTTCGAACTGAGTGTCACCTGAGGTTCGAATGGAGTTTTCAATAGGTTCAAACTCCGGGCGGAGTCCCTCCAGTGCCAGCTTGCCAGCTAGGGTTTGGAGGTGACGAAGATACTCACCAAAGGGTTGAGCTCCCCACTGCATATGACTGAAATTGTCTTTGAGGTTCCGGATCGTTAAGGCTGATTGAGTCCCATAGAGCCGCTCAAGTGTCTTCCAGACAGCGGCAGAAGAGCGTGCCGAGCCGATTAACAGTTTGCAAGCTGAGCTAAGGGAGGAGGCTAGGGTGTAGGGGTGGAGTCGGTCCTATCTATTCCACCAGAGATGACTGATTGCATCACTTTCCAGCGGCGGGGCGCTCTTCTCTTCCATATACTGACTCGGGTGCGATCTAAACAGAAGATCAAGAACCTGGTCACATCAAATCGGGTAATTAGAACCGTCTAATTTTTCTGGGATTTGGCTAGAGTTAGGCATTATGAATCCATCGGGTGTTAAGGAATTGTTGACAGAGGTAGGCATGGCATTAGGAAGTAGTACAAACTGGCCAGTAAGGGGATTTTCATGGTTTCCTTGTTCCTGGAGATCCTATTGATGTCTGACTCGATTTCCATCGTTGGCCATGGGTAGATGTGCTGGTGAGAGCTCTTGCGGGTCTGATATGATATTAGAGTTTAGAGAAGAGAAGAAATTCAGACTAAAAAGTGCATGTATTTATACAATGATTAGGAGCCTATAATAATAATTACAATGCAAACTACAAAGGTTGTAACGGTTATAACTAAAGATAATAATAACCGAAAATATTACGTAGTATAAATTATTATCATCTGGAATATTATATAAGAGAGAAAATTTGACCTTTAATACTCAGGTTTTAAATAATCAAAGGTGTTTAAGTCTTTGTTTATCTTTAGTTTCCACCAAGGCTAACTAAACATGGAAAAGTTGTTGCATCTTTGTAAAACACCCCCCTTTTTAACCACTTTGTTTAACATAAAGAGAATATGGTGGAATGGGTAAAGTTCATTCATCATTAGTTACCATACTTCAAATACAAAGTTGATATTACATTCGGCCTCGGATGGGGGGCACTAGGTCAAGTGGCTTGATCGGTATCCCAGGTCTCGTGTTATTTGTCTCACTACTAGATGGATACCTCCAACCTTTGTCCTGTTGGGGCATAAGTTTATAGAAAATCCCGTAGGGCGAGCGTGATCCAACATCCCAATGGCATGCGACAAACATTATGGGAAGGATCAAAATGGAAAAATGACATAAACGTAGTGGGAGAGAGAGTAGATAAATATTACATATGGTGACTTGTTGCCTTGCTGGCCTTGGTCCACGGGTACCGTGTAGCTGCCTTTGACAACCATGTGTAGCAATAAGATACACCATATATTGCATCCATGTATGAAGGAGCATATAATGGCATCTATCATTATCAAAATCTAAGGCTCCCACCCCCAACATGGCATCCACCACTGAATGATAACATCCAGTAATTTTGCAAACAGTAAATTGCAATATGTTTTGATAATTACAGTGCAGATCTGACCCTGATTACTTTGTAGTTTGTACATGTCAACATTTTATAGAAATTGATTTATATTGCTTTGTTAGGACAATATATAGTTTTCGTATGAATTAAAATGAAGAAAAAGTAAAGTGAGAAAATATCTTCACTTAATCCCTTCGACACTTGAACCCTAGATTGGACCAAAACTCAACTCCCATGCCCAAAAAAACATCAAACTTTGTTCTGCCGCTAATTGAATAGCAGGATATCTATTTTTCAGGAGATTTTGGATTTATTATGGCAATCGTTTGCATGCGAACGATCTGAACATCTATTTCAAGTAATTCCAAGTACTTGACTACTTGCTATATCATACTTGCTCCGTCCTCCTATCTTTGTCCCATTTTACCTTTTTTGTTCGTCCCACTAAGTATGTCCCGCACCATATTTGGTAATATTTGGGTGGTTGCAATTCATTCTTATTTTATTCACACTTCACCAATTCAATACCAACCACACAATTCCACATTTCTTAATAATCGCACAACACCCTCTTGTCCCAATCTTAGGGGGACAGAGGTAGAATAAAGTAGCAACCATAGTCTTCTGGATCATAATAGCAATTATATATCAGCGCCAATTTAAACATACCTGTAAAGTCAACAGCCACCATAAAGCTAAGCTCATAACCTGAAGCCAAGTAATCAAGGAACGTATACTGGACTTTTTCGGTGCACTTTTCAGTAAACAGCTGACTATTTAAAACCTAAATTTATGACAATGATCACATTTTAGTGTCTAAAAACTTGGAAATTAAATAAATTCATCCACTTTAATATTTACCTTAGTTTGATGACTTGGCCCACTACCAGTTGGTACAAAGAAATTTACCCCAGCCCCAGAAGCATGTAACTTTTCTAAATCTGCAAGTGATTTCTGAACCTTTCTGAGCATGAAGAAAGAGCAATATGAGATGTTGAAATTGTAGAGGTGTAGAAAATATACCATGCAAAATGAAATATGTTCATTTACCCTAATAAGTCATGTTTTCCGTTGCTATTAAAGTTGTAACACTCAATAGTCAGTGGGCTGTCCTGCAAGATCAGAAAGGGTTTGAATAGACATGTCAATTTTAACTTAGAATAAGCTAAAGACCAAGAGCTATTGTAAAATAACGAGATATTACCTGAAATAGGACTAAAACAATTTGAAAATTCCAAAATAGGGCTGACATGTTTTTATTCCCAAAATAGGACTAATTACTGCCATGTTTTGGCAGTACCAGACTTCAAACATGTCAGTATTTTCTAAACATGGCAGTAATTAGTCCTATTTTGGGAATAAAAAACATGACAGCCCTATTTTGGAATTTTGAAACTGTTTTAGTCCTATTTCAGGAACTTTCCCTAAAATAACATATTAACTCAGCCTCTAGCAGCCAGTAAGCCCACCCCTAGGTAGGAAAAGTCCATACTCCATAGCTCAGTTATAAAATTAGCAGTGTTTAACCCTAGTGCTGTGTTTATAAATATAGGTCAGTTATCATAAAATTATGTACAACACTTGTAGTGTTTAACGGTTTGATTTTCCCTAGTGTTTTGTGTGTTAACCCAAGTCCTTTTTCATATCTCCACATTGTATCAGAGCCACTGTCATTATTTTTGCAGCAAGCTTGAGAACTATCCCAATTTATCGACAAATCTTCTCTTGAAGCTTTCTGGTGCAGGTGCGAGTCAGTTTTCTTCTACCTTCTCCATTCCAGCATTTTTTCCAATAATCCAACTCCACACTGACCATAATAGTCCAGCAAATGTTTAGAAGAATCCCATCGCCAGAAGCCCTGCCATGCACGGACGCACTGCCTTTGTTCGGGGAGGTCTTCAACTGTTCACTGCTTGGTCTCATTTTCTCAAACTCCATTAATATGACCGCCTTCACCTAAAAAATCTCTAACTCTTAAGAACTTATCATGCCACCCTCTCCGACCAGACAAATAACATAAAACACAACTAAGTTTCATTAAGTTCACCAAAACTTAGAGTTTAACTAGTAATAATGCATGTGACAGCACTAAAGTCGATTGTGCCTCAAAATAAATTCACGACTAGCACTACTAGCGTAGTAGAGTTCGTATTCACAGGCGACTAAAGTCACTTGTGCAACATAACTTCATCCCATATAGAGCATATACACAACCAAGTTTCATTAAGTTCACCAAAACTTATAGTTGAACTAATAATAATGCATGCAATGTACCACTAAATAAATATCCAATAAAGAACAACAAAGTAAACATAATGTACAGATTGGAAATTCAAATGGTTTCATACATGTTTTTTGTTCCTGTCAGAACCCTAAGTGACAGAGAGCGTTCTTAGGTAGAGAAAAGCCAAAAACACAGAACAAAATCGGAAAGGCTCTATAAGTTGAGAAGAACTCAAGTGCAATTATACAAGTTATTGTTGCGCAAGATAACAACAGCATAATTTTTGTTCATGTTATAACACTCCAACAATAGGATTTAACTTGCAGTTCAAAAGGAAACCCCATTACTGAAGCGGTAGATACATCTCAAACAGTTATACCTTACTTCCAACTTGTTGAATGCTCAAGTGAACAGGCTTCCAAATTGGATTATGGTCATTTTTCAAAACTTCTGTTTTGCAAATGGGAATAACACTTCCACTTTCAACGGTCTTGGAGATCAGCAAAAACGGGTCCTGCCAGAAACACAAAATAACATAAAATAATATGATTAATTGTATCAGCAGTCAGATGGGGAAAACAGCAAGCCATTATTTGGCTAAGTGGGACTAACTGAATCAGCAGTCAGATGGAGAAAACAGCAGGCCATTAAGTGGCAAGGTGCTTACACTTTTTGAGAAAAAATCCTTGGATTCCAAATCTGAGCAACGAAATACAAACTCAATTGTAGTCTTTGAGGTGACACTTTCTTCTGCACAAACAGTGAGCTTGCCAAGCTCTTTGCTATGCATTGGAACAGATGGTTGTTCTCTAGGTGAAAGATCTAATGTCATGCACCGGTTTGATTTTGTGACAATCTGCAAAAGTAAACATAAAGAATGAATATATACATGCACACACACACATGATCAAATAAATAAGAAAATAAATAAATAATTAAATCATTACATCAATATTTATATATTTAGTTAATTAATTAAGCAAGAAAGCAAGCATATATATTAATTCATCCATTCCTAAAAAACTAGTGAACTGGCAGATAATTTTAACTTCACATCCTATGGATAGAGCAAAAGTGAAAAGCTCAGTTAATCATTAAAAAAACACAATGATAATAATAATAACAATAATGATAATAACCAGGGGCGACTTTAGTACAAGGGGGCCGGAATATAATACAAGTATTAAAATGTAAAGAGAAATTTGCAATTTTGGTCCCCTAAATTTACCCCGTGCCCGTTTTTAGTCCTGTAACTATACTTGCTTAAAGATTTGGTCATGTAACTAATAATTTTTTGCAATTTAAGTACCTCCCCGCCAGAAAATACACTTTCTGACAGATAATTCACTGAAAAAATTCACTTTGATTTTATTATGCCGTCGATGTTGATTTTTTTGCCATAAAGTATACTTTCAGGTGGAAAATTCCTTAAACAGCAAAGACCAATTAGTCAGAGGACTTAATCTGCATGTGAGTAAAGTTACGTGACTAATAAATAGGGACAATCAAAAGTTACGGGATTAAATTGCAAATCTCCCAAATATAAAATTTAAAAATATCATCACAAAAGATACTTATGATTTGCCTAATTGCCTTCACTTTTTTTGGAGGGGGCCCAAATAATTTGCAATAGTAATCTTTTTATAAAAAATGTGGGGAGGGCCATGGCCCCGTTTACTTCCTACATGACTCCGCCCCTGATAATAACAATAATGATGATGATACTAATACTAATAATAATAGCAATAATAAGGTCAGCAAAGCCTGAAAAGATATGCCATGCTTGCTCATATAAATCTTAAAATAAGCAAGCAAAAAAATCATCAAAAAGTAGATTTGAAAATTAATAAAAATCATCAAAAAGTAGGGGTTTTTTATGGGAAAAATAATTAAAATACCCCAAACTTTGAAGGGGTGTGAGGTAAGCACCCCAAACTTGCATATGTAGTTTAAATACCCTAAACTTTATATAAAATGTTACTTTAGCACCATTGTCATGTATTATTTCTTTCAAAAATGTTAACTTTTGGTGTTAATTCATAATTTAAAATATTTTAGCATTCATGAAGATACAATTAACATTCTAAACTTCCATTGCAAAATAAATAATACTACACCCACTCTATATAATTGCAACATTTTTAATTTGCTATTTTAAATTATGCAATGAAGTGATGAACACCATAAATTTACATTTTTGAAAGAAATAATATATGATCATGGTGCTAAAATAACTTTTTATATAAAGTTTAGGGTATTTAAATTACATATGAAAGTTTGGGGTGTTTATCTCACACACCTTCAAAGTTTGGGGTATTTTAATAATTTCTCCCTTTTTTATACATCGGAAAGGAATCAAAAAGTAGGTTTGAAAATGAAGTTTGATGAGCATATACCATGCTGCCCACAATCTCCAACAAAGCCATTTAGAATAAGAGACCCTTTTTCATCCAAACAGAATAAGAGCACCCCCTACCAGATTTAGAGTTATTAATATTTTATTCATACTGCTTGGCCACATGAGAGGCTCATCAGATTCAAAAAGTATGAAGATAAGTTTGTAATACAATTATACAACCTCTGACAATGTGCAGCTAGCCTCACCAAGAAAATCTTGATCATCCAATCTAAGCGTCTGCATGAGGTAAATGCTGTTTTATGAACAAATATTACATTTAATCTCCTGAGTATTGTGAAGTCGACACATTTAGTCCTTCCACTATGGTTTTGGCACAATAAGTGGAGGACTAAAAATGTCACTATGATAACAATTGAATGACCAAAAATGTCACTTTTATGAAAGTCGGAGGACTAAATATGGAAAATTGCAAAGACAAGTACCAAAAGTGTCTTTTACACAATATTCAAAGGACTGATAATGGAAATATTCAAAGTCGAGTACCGAAAGTGTCACTGACTGGAGGACTAGAGTGAAAAGAAACTCTTTTCAGTTTTTAGCGATACAACACTTAAAACTGCATTTTGCATGGATTAAGTTGTACGTGTGGAGCTGACAAAATAATGACCAAGGATACTCTTGAACAAAAGCACACCAAGGGATCATATGTGTCAAATAGACAGAAAAGTTCACTCAACTTTTCAAGTTAAAAATGAGGTACACCAAGAATGATACAAGCTTTTTGTAAAGTACTTTATTAGACAATGTTAGGAAAAATGGTGGACAAACGAAACAGGTACCCAATTTCAGTTCATGAAAAGAGACCAAACTGATGCTTATTCCTAAGAGATCTAATAAAATTCTAAAAGTAGAAAACATGTACCTTCGTATCATGGGTATGCAATTTTGTGTCAACATCATACACATGGAACCTGTGAAGAAAGGAAAATGAGACTGATAAAAGAGTGTGTTTTTCCGATCATAATCATATACGTTGAATCATAACTCACACCAAAGTCTGCACCATCTCAAATTGATAGGTCATGTTAAATTTTGCAATCCATTTAGGATGAACTGAATTCAAAACCACTTCTGTTCGACCAAGCTCTTGAAGTTTGCCATCCCTTCCTTTTGAATAAAGGACTGCCATAGGATCACTCTGTAAATGAAACATCATTCACAATTGATCATGAAACACACCCTACAGTCTTCTATAGTTTCATGAAAATATTTCTTGCATTCATATCCAAGGAGTCAAGGACCTTACAACAACATCCAAGCCTTAATCCCAAAAGAATTTGGGGTCGGCTAACATGAATCGATCTATGATATCGATGCCAAAAAGAGAAGGCGGACAATAGCGATATTCATATTTCGATTCATGTCAAGTGATGTGACTAAGTGATACTGTTGGCCGTCACAAGGAGTCAAGGACCTTATGTAAAAAAAAATTAACTCGGGATAAATATGCACTTGAATTTCTATATTAACATTTGTAAAACTAAGCAATGAGTCAATGACACATGTGTTTCCTCATCTCAATATATATAGTACCTTTGAAATGACATCAATAAGAATCTTTAAATATTTAGAAAACTGCCTAGCCAAATCAAATCATGCTATACATTTCTAACTAAAAGTCAAAACAAACCTTGGAAAGCACGTCCTGATCGCGTAACTTTGAGGCAGATAGAGATAACTGCAACAATTTATATTAAAACATATCAAATCCAGCAGACTAAGATTATTATAATTTATAACAAAGGTTTTTTGTGAACAACCTATAGTTTAGCCTCTTTAAAAACCAACAAGCTGAATGTAATGTGTAGCTTTTGTTTGTTTGAAGTGACATAGGGAAGGGTGAAATAGGAAGAGAGCGGAATAACAAATTTATTTGTTTGGTGAAGAAGTGAAATGGAGTAAAGAGGAAAGAAAATCATGGGTCCCACCACTTTTTCAATTCTTTTCCCTCATCGGAAGAAATAGAAAAGAAGTTTTTCTGTTCTCAGTTTCATCCATTTCTTCTCTGTTTCTCCCGACCAAATAATACCCAAAATCTACTCGATTTCTCTCCTATTCATATCTTATACTATATCTCTTTCTCATCCATATCTCTCTTCTCTATTTCCTCCCAACAAACAAAGGTCTAAAAAGCAACTCACGCATCCATACTTTGTAAGCAGTTAACTATATCTGGTAATTTGTTTCAAGAATATCATGTATCACATCTCGATAATATTAGCTCTACCATTCAAGAATATTATCACAAACACAAGCATGAACTCTTCAGATGAGTCCTGAATCATGAGTACAGTGCTGTTTTAAGGCAAGCAGGTTAGCATAGAGATTTGCACTTTATTCTTCATTTCTTCCTGAATATAAAATGCTTAGTGCAGTTGCTAGTAAAAACACAATATCTCATAACACCATTATCTTAAGAATGATCAAGTCAACTTGTCTACATGTTTCAGTTGATATTTTTCCGCACTTTCTTCATTACGATGCAAACATTTGGGCTTTAGTCTATGCAGGTATTTTCTCTTCTATTCAAACAAGTGCCATATGAATGTCCAATAGCCCAATATACCCAATTACACAAAAGTCGAAGATACCCTATATTTCATGGTCATGCCTGAATAGTATCTACTGTCAAACTGTCCGAGGTACTACCAGTCTATTACCTCTTCAACTGTGTGACTTCTACAGTTCTACTTGCTCAGGGAGTAGGGCCATAAAGTATGGACTGTAACCCTCTCTTTTCCACCAAAATAGAAATGCTGAGAAAGAAATGATATCAGATGACATGATACTCCCTCCTCCCAAAAATAATTCCGTTCCAATTCCCAAATAGGTTTTTGTAAGAATAAAATTCAAATTTGACTAAAATGAACTAACACTTATGATTTATGTGTAATTTGCCAAATATGGTCACATTCAAGTTGCTTCGATAAATTTAAATAAATTAAAAAATAGTTATTAAAATTATAAGTATGATTAATGATTTATAGCCATTAAAAATACTACATTGGCTAAACATGATTGTTTTTCAGATACATAGTATAATATACGACTGCAAAGAACAAAATGCAAAGTCAGCTATCCAACAGGCAAGCATTGGCAATTTGGCATTTGATGCTCTATAGAGAAAATAAAAATGCTCGCAAAAAAGAAAATATAGAGAAAATAAAAACGAAAGTTAATTGAGCTACCAACAGGCCAATTGCTTAGTTGAGCTAGTCATCAACGAATATATATCGTGTTGAACAAGAATTCCAGACATTGTAAACTAGCAAGCAACGAGAAATCGCATAAACCTCCATACTGAATTCAATGTTTGAGAACAGCATTTACAAGTGATCTATAAGTGAGCTTCTATACAGTTAGTGAGAACCTCGATCTGAGAGTAGAGCCCGTGGTAGCATCGAGACTTGAGGAAGGCATCGACGGCGAGGTTAGCATCATCAGTCGGATTGTTTCCGGAGCTCCCGTTGCCGCCCACGGCTGCCTTTCCGCCGCTCACGTCGGAGCAACAATTCCCCATCGGCAGCGCAGCCTCTCACTTGGACTGTGTCTATCAGTGTTAATTTCGTTGACTGCTAGACATTGCGGGATTTTATACTCTCTTCGGACCGCTGTAAAGATTTCGTGAGAGGATAAATCGGAGCTCGGAAAGCGACAGTATCGCAATGTTCTGTAAGAAAACTGTAAAGGTCCACTCTTGTTCCTCCAAGCCGTCTCGGAATTTCTATTTTGAGACAGTGAAAACTGAAAACGAATTCATTTAGGACTATCAAATCAAAAAGACACCATTCCCAAAATAGGAGCAAAACATAGTCAAAATGCAAAAGTAAGAGTATCATGTTTTGAATAGGAGTAATTTTAGTGTTTGAAAAAAATTAGGAGTATACAAAAGTAGGAATATACCCTTACCCAAGTCCCAACAACTTTTAATTAAATGTTTAATTCATAATAAATTCGAAAAAAATTCAAAAAATCGTAGAAAAATAATTAAAAAATTTATAAAATATTAATAAAATAAAAAATTCAAAAAAATATTTTTTTTTAATTTTTATTTTTTAAAAAAAATAAAAATTGATAAAAAATAGTAAAACTCCATAAAAAAATTAAAAAAAATATGGATGTCTTTCCCACCGCCTATACTACCTCCCTGCACCACCACCTCCAAACGGTGGAAAAAAAAATTCATTTTTTCTAAAAATTGCATTTTTTCGGAAAATGCCAAAAACATGGCATATTTCTCTTTGCGAATGTCAACGTTTTCATTGTTTTCTGCCATAAATATGGCATTCGTAATGAACTTGGCATTTTCTCCTCCGGTGACAGGAGGTGGTGGTGCTGAGGCGGCAGAGGCGGCGGTGAATTTTATTTTATTTTTTTGAGTTTTTTTATTTTTTATTTTTAAAAAATATATATTTTTTATTTTTTTGAAAAATAAATAAATAAATTATTATATGAAAAATAAAATATTTTTTTATAAATAAAATATTTTTTATTTTTTTGAAAAATATATTTTTTTTATTTTTTTGAATTTTTTATTTTTATAAATAAAATATTTTTTATTTTTTTGAAAAATATATTTTTTTTTATTTTTTGAAAAAAGTATACATAATATTTACAAACGCAAATTTTAAAGTATTCACTCCTAAATTAATATGAGAAACTATATTCCAATAACTAACTAAATACTGTTAAGTTATACTCCCTCCGGTCCTTATTAAACTTTGACTTCACATATATTAAGAAAATAAATTTGACTTTACTGTAGAGTACACTGTTTGGCACTGTTTGACACTGTTTGGCATTGTTGTTCACTGTTTGGTGTAGATTTGTTTGCCAAATAAGGCAAATAAGGAAGTGTAAAATTTAATATAGAACGGCCCAAAGAGGAAAGTGTAAAGTTAATTAAAGACCGGAGGTAGCACTTCTTATATATTAATGGAGCTCAACAGTTGGTTTCAACGATGTAAAGTTCAATTTAGGATTATAATTAATATAACGTTGAATCTTTTACCTCTTGAGACACATACTAAAATCAAATAAATTTATCTAATTAGTGAGTCACTTTTCACAAAAATAGGAGGCAGATTAATCTAATTAGTTAGTTGTTTGTTTTAAAACATGGAATAATTATATAAAATTTAATAATTATAAAAATAGTAAACTAAATACATACATCTAACTTTTTTGAAGAAAAGGAATTTTATTAATAAAAATGAAATCAAACTTGTATACAAGTGTAACTTTCATTTTTTTGAAAGGAAATAATAAATGGTGTTTACGATAATTAATAATTCCAAAATTAAGATCGGGAGATGCAGATAATAAATTCTAATTTATTTAAGAAAAATAAACATATGCATGGATGGATGCCTATATTGAATTTTTAAAATTTTATGGGGCCTAAGTCAATGGCCTCATTGACCTAAAGGTATGCATGGCCCTGACTTGAACTACAGAGGAGTAATAATATTAATAAAAAACAATCAAAGAAAAGATGACAAAATAATATTAATAATAATAATAATAATTATTATTATTATTATTATTATTATTATTATTATTAGTATTGTCATTGTTGTTGTTATTTTTGTTGTTGTTGTTGTTAATGTTGTTGTTATTGTTATAGAATAATCAAATAAAGAAAGATGGTATTTTTTGTTTACACCACTCTTCCTAATTTCTCGACATTGATATGGACTTTTAAAAGTCACTTTTCATTATCTATTCTATATACAAAGCAACGTGAGAATATGTTCAAACTCCCGCTCAAAACTGTCCAAATCAATAGCTCACATCATGTAAAACTAGAGTCGAAATGAAGTGTAGGCACACACCCTCTTGGGACCAAGTGTAGAAGTTGTCTGTCAATTCCCTCAGTCACACTAATGAATTAAACAATGAATATTAAAATTGCTCTATGGATAAAAGCAAACGGTGTTAGTTTGTCAGAGCCACCCTATACCTTATAATCCAAGTAGGTCTTTGTTTCTTGTGCTAATGGTAATCAAAATCATATTTCACTCAGGAAACATGTATCTTGAGTGGATGTCAAAACCAATTCATCTCATGAAAAACGGGACTACCTTATGTCAGCTTTATTTGAATTTCCCCACTTCTAAAGACTAGAAAATACTCCTTATAAAATGAATTTATTTCATTCTTAAGCCAACACATTTCAGAACGTCGAAAGCACGGTACAGAAAAATTGTGGTCTCTCTGCACAATTGAAGATTGATTTTTTTTTTCAATTGGCATCGCCATCTCCACTTCAAGGGAGGTACTTATTTCTGAAATGGTACCTCTTAATATTTCTATATATATATACTCCCTCCGTCCTGTTGGAATGTTGCCGCTTTCCTTTTTTGGATGTCCCGTTGGAAAGTTCCCATTTCCCTAAACGGAAAGTTATCCTACATCAAAACAGGGTCAAACAGTGCAAAACAGTGTCGAAACAGTGCCAAGCAGTGTCGAAACAGTGTCAAAGCAGTAAAATTTACCCTCTGGTAAGTTTATTTCCTTAATATGTGTGTAGGTCAAACCGGGAACATTCCAACGGAACGGAGGGAGTATATAATATCATATCTTGGCAGCTAAAAGGGAAATTGCTAATTTCCGGCTGAATCGGGGATCGACAGAGCAAGCGGGGATTTGGTGTGGAGGAGGCACAACATTCGACGACTAACGGCTAACAGTGTCGCAAACGTTGCACCAACAGAAAGTAGATCCTGGCCGAACACTAACCCAGCAAGACGGCGGCCACCGCACTGGCTGATTGAGGCTTCATATTGAGACTGCTCGCAACCACGGGGTCTCCGTTTCAGCGACCGAAGTTAGCTGAGTGATAGAGCCAGAATCAAGAAGACGAAGAACAGGTAAAATCAAGAGAATGACGATAGTTCAATGAGGTGACAGTGGCAGATAGTAACTTATGTTGAGTATAATTTTATTCACTCTAAAATGGAACGTGAAAGCATACATGCTATCTATTTTAATCTTGAGAAGTTAACTTGAATGAGGAGTGGGTTACTCCTCCATATTTTTAGTATATTCTTAATAGTTAAGAATTAAATAAGTGAAAAAATATCAATTGGAAATGTTTTAAAATAATGATTTTGATAAAAATAGGTGATTGTAATTAATATTTGTTAGACAGCTCTTATTTTTTTTGAAACGGTTAGACAGCTCTCTTGATAATTATTTTTGCAGCTAATATGAAAATATTTAATCATTATGGTAAACAATATTATTATTAGATACGGAGTATAATCGATGCGTCATGTATTCCGTATTTCATTTTTGTTAGAAAAGGATGAACTCAGATTATTACGTTTGAGTAGAATAATTAAGGATGGGTAATGGGACATCCAAAAAAAGATGGGAATGAGTTATACATGTGTGTTTGCATGTATATATACAAGCATGCATTTCACATTTGTCTAGCTTTATAAGGACGTATAACTACTTTAGTCATTATTTAATTTTGTTATGATTATGATCTTATATTAATGATGTAAGAAATATATGATTACCGTATTCATTTTTTTCTTTAATTTATATGCCAAATCTTATTTGTTAACATTTCTTAAACTATAGAGAATTAAAACTAATGAAAATGTAATAGATATTAAGTGATGAAGATTCGGTAGAAGCACTTCTTATATCATTTCCTTTATTTTTATATTTGGGGATGGGAATTGATTGGTCAAGTCTCAATTCATTTTTTATTTTCTTTTTGCATTTCAAGACTTATAAGTAATATAACCATTTAAAAAAGTATAAATCAATGTAAAACGCATTGTAGTGTTCATTTTTTGTCTTCTTCAAATAGTCGCCACTACCTTTCGCTCTTAATAATATGACCTCTATTACTATGTACGTAGTATATAATATCACATACTCCCTCCGTCTCTTAAAACTTAGTCAACTTTCCTTTTTTGAATGTCTCGCTAACTTTGCCACTTTCTCTTTTAAGTAAAGGAATTGTGGTTCCAGTTAATTCTCTCTCCTCTGCAAAAACCTCAACCACACAATTTTTACTTTATTAATTCCCGTGCCGGCCAAATTTGGCAAAGTTTTAAGGGACGGAGGGAGTATATTATTTTCATACATTTATACATTGTACTTTATGAAATTTTGATTTTAATTTTAATATAATAATATAATAAATAATTAATTTCACATATTTTATTAAATTTTATTCCGTGCATCGCACGGGTGAGAACTAATTGAACGTACCGTCCGATCGAGGTTGGAGGCCCTCAGGGATGGAGTGCCAATCCTTTTTTTAGTCATCCAGAGGGTTCCAAACGTACACCTCTGCCAACGAGATCATCATTTGATTTGATAGAAACGCTACTTTGGATGACCTGAATTCAAAATCTCTCGCACGAGGAGGACTGTACGTGTGAAGTCCAATCCATTTGTCCCAAAAAAGTTAGCAAAAGTTGACTTTCACGTGGATTAATAAAGTAAAAACTGTGTGGTTGAAATTTTTGCAGAGAAGAGAGAATTAATTTTAGCCACATATTCCTCACTTTAAATGGAAATGACAAATCTTTTTGGGACATTCAAAAAAGAAAATTTGGTCAACCTTTTCGGGACGGAGGGAGTATACTACTCCCTCCGTCTCCCAATTAAGTTACCATTTTCCTTTGTGGACAGTTCCTAAATTAAGAGGCCGTTTGACAACCCTCATTTTCGACTTATCAGGCTTATCAGCCAACTTTTT